GGTCTGAAGTGGGTCTCTTGTAGACAGCAAATATATGGGTCTTGTTTTTGTATCCATTCAGCCAATCTGTGTCTTTTGGTGGGAGCATTTAGTCCATTTACATTTAAGGTAATTATCAATACGTATGTTCCTATTCCCATTTTCTTAATTGTTTTGGGTTTGTTATTGTAGGTCTTTTCCTTCTCTTGTGTGTCTTGCCTAGAGAAGTTCGTTTAGTAGTTGTTGTAAAGGTGGTTTGGTGGTGCTGAACTCTCTCAGCTTTTGCTTGTCTGTAAAGGTTTTAATTTCTCCATCAAATCTGAATGAGATCCTTGCTGGGTAGAGTAATCTTGGTTGCAGGTTTTTCTCCTTCATCACTTTAAGTCCCTTCTGGCTTTCAGAGTTCCTGCTGAAAGATCAGCTGTTAACCTTATGGGGATTCCCTTGTGTGTTAGTTGTTGTTTTTCCCTTGCTGCTTTTAATGTTTTCTTTGTATTTAATTTTTGACAGTTTGATTAATATGTCTTGGCGTATTTCTCCTTGGATTTATCCTGTATGGGACTCTTTGTGCTTCTTGGACTTGATTATTTCCTTTCCCATATTAGGGAAGTTTTCAACTATAATCTCTTCAAATATTTTCTCAGTCCCTTTCTTATTCTCTTCTTCTTCTGGAACCCCTATAATTCGAATGTTGGTGCATTTAATGTTGTCCCAGAGGTCTCTGAGCCTGTCCTCAGTTCTTTTCATTCTTTTTTCTTTATTCTGCTCTGCAGTAGTTATTTCCACTTTTTTATCTTCCAGGTCACTTATCCGTTCTTCTGCCTCAGTTATTCTGCTATTGATCCCTTCTAGAGTATTTTTAATTTCATTTATTGTGTTGTTCATCGTTGCTTGTTTCATCTTTAGTTCTTCTAGGTCCTTGTTAAATGTTTCTTGCATTTTGTCTATTCTATTTCCAAGATTTTGGATCATCTTTCCTATCATTATTCTGAATTCTTTTTCAGGTAGACTGCCTATTTCCTCTTCATTTGTTAGGTCTGTTGGGTTTTTATCTTGCTCCTTCATCTGCTGTGTGTTTTTCTGTCTTCTCATTTTGCTTATCTTACTGTGTTTGGGGTCTCCTTTTCGCAGGCTGCAGGTTCGTAGTTCCCGCTGTTTTTGGTGTCTGCCCCCAGTGGGTAAGGTTGGTTCAGTGGGTTGTGTAGGCTTCCTGGTGGAGGGAACTGGTGCCTGTGTTGTGGTGGATGAGGCTGGATCTTGTCTTTCTGGTGGGCAGGTCCACGTCTGGTGGTGTGTTTTGGGGTGTCTGTGGACTTATTATGATTTTAGGCAGCCTCTCTGCTAATGGGTGGGGTTGTGTTCCTGCCTTGCTAGTTGTTTGGCATAGGGTGTCCAGCACTGTAGCTTGCTGGTCGTTGAGTGAAGCTGGGTGCTGGTGTTGAGATGGAGCTCTCTGGGAGATTTTCGCTGTTTGATATTATGTGGACCTGGGAGGTCTCTTGTGGACTAGTGTCCTGAAGTTGGCTCTCCCACCTCAGAGGCACAGCACTGACTCCTGGCTGCAGCACCAAGAGCCTTTCATCCACACGGTCTCAAAGTCCACCTCCTTAATTTGGGATGATTCATTGTCTATTCAGGTATTCCACAGATGCAGGTACATCAAGTTGACTGTGGAGATTTAATCTGCTGCTTCTGAGGCTGCTGGGAGAGATTTCCCTTTGTCTTCTTTGTTCTCACAGCTCCCAGGGGCTCAGCTTTGGATTTGGCCCCGCCTCTGTGTGTAGGTTGCCGGAGGGTGTCTGTTCTTCACTCAGAGAGGAGGGGCTTAAAGGAGCGCTGATTCGGGGGCTCTGGCGCACTCAGGCTGGGGAGAGGGAGGGGCACGGAGTGCGGGGTGAGCCTGTGGCGGCAGAGGCCGGCATGACATTGCACCAGTGTGCGGTGCACCGTGCGTTCTCCCGGGGAAGTTGTCCCTGGATCCCGGGACCCTGGCAGTGGCGGGCTGCACAGGCTTCTGTAAGGGGGGTGTGGATAGTGACCTGTGGTGACACACAGGCTTCTTGGTGGCGGCAGCAGCAGCAGCCTTAGCGTCTCTGGGGTCCGCGCTGTTAGCCGCGGCTCGCGCTTGTCTCTGGAGCTCCTTTAAGCAGTGCTCGTAATCCCCTCTCCTCGCGCACCAGGAAACAGAGAGGAAAGAAAAAGTCTCTTGCCTCTTCGGCAGCTCCAGACTTTTCCCGGACTCCCTCCCGGCTAACCGTGGCGCACTAATCCCCTGCAGGCTGTGTTCACGCCGCCAACCCCAGTCCTCTCCCTGCGCTCCGACTGAAGCCCGATCCTCAGCTCCCAGCCCCACCCGCCCCGGCGGGGGAGCAGACAAGCCTCTCGGGCTGGTGAGTGCCGGTCGGCCCTGATCCTCTGTGCAGGAGTCTCCCCGCTTTGCCCTCCGCACCCTGTGGCTGTGCTCTCCTCCGCGGCCCCAAAGCTCCCGCCTCCACCACTCATAGTCTCCGTCCGCGAGGGGGCTTCCTAGTGTGTGGAAACCTTTCCTCCTTCACGGCTCCCTCCCACTGGTGCAGGTCCCGTCCCTATCCTTTTGTCTCTGTTTATTCTTTTTTCTTTTGCCCTATGCAGGTACCTGGGGAGTTTCTTGCCTTTTGGGAGGTCTGAGGTCTTCTGCCAGCGTTCAGTAGGTGTTCTGTAGGAGTTGTTCCACGTGTAGATGTATTTCTGGTGTATCTGTGGGGAGGAAGGTGATCTCCGCGTCTTACTCTTCCGCCATCTTCCCGGAAGTCTCATATTTGTAGTTTTTTAAGGAACGTCCATACTGTTCTCCATAGTGGCTGTACCAATTCACATTCCCACCAGCAGCGCAAGAGGGTTCCCTTTTCCCCACACCCACTCCAGCATTTATTGTTTCTAGATTTCTTGATGATGGCCATTCTGGCTGGTGTGAGATGATATCTCATTGTAGTTTTGATTTTTGCCTTCATTCTTAAAGAATACTTTCCCTGGATAGACAGTTCTGGGTTACGGTCTTTTTAAAAAGCTCTTTAAAGATGTTATCCACTGTTTCCTGGCCCCTGTTGTTTACGATCGGAAGTGCTGTTCAAATAGTTGTTTTCCTGTATGTGATGCACGGTTTCTCTCTGGTGCTTTCACGATCTTCCCTCTCTGGTGTTCAGCAGCTTGACTCCGACGTGTGGTTTTCATTGTATTTATCTTGCTTGAGGCTTACCGAGTTTCTTGAATCTGTAAATTTGTCTTCCACCAAATTTTGGTTATTATTTCTTCAATTTTTTTGTCTCATTCTCTTTCTTCTAGGACACCTGGTGACACTGTCCTACGTGTCTCTGAGGCTTTTAAAATTTATTAATTTCTGATCTTTATTCGTCTCTTCAGGTTGGATCATTTCCATTGATATGCCTGTTGTTCTCTCCTTCTTGCTGTTTCACTGTTCTGTCCTTTCTGGCCCAACTCCAACGTTGACCTGCCATTTCTCCTCTTTCGTAAGGACTGTGGGGTTGCTGAGGGGTCAGAGCTCTGCACTGGCTCAGTGGGACTGAGGGCCAGAGAGGATACAAACGTGTGATATCATCTCTGCTGTGAAAGTGTGGCCCCCGGGGCAGGCAGGACGTGGCACAAGTTCATGCCAGGGGAAAGGCGGGCAGGCTGAACAGCAGTGATGAGTCTCTGGGAGAGAGGCCCGGGCTAGGGCAGTCAATTGTCTCCCTGGGGGACGCAGTGGGCGGGGTGCAGGTCTCTCCTGAGTCCTAGGCCCTGGGCTAGCTGCTCTCTGACCTCAGCGGACCTGCACAACATCCCCACCTCAAAATTATCATCCTCCCACGTAACAGACTGGGAGAGGTTGTCTGGGGCCTAAGGCGGCGCAGCGTGTGGCTCGGGGAGCACCAGGGAAGCCTTTTGTGACGGGGCAGGATTTGAGACGTTGGAAGGCCACGCGCCTCCTCCTAGTGCTCAGTCCAAATACCGCCCATGATCCTGGTATTTTTCTGGGCAGGATTAGTCCTGGAACTTGAACTAGTCTTAGGTTTCTTCTGCCATGTTGTGCAGACCCTGTCCAGGTGACACCGGCAGGTAACTCACCTTTCCAGCACCACTGTCCTCATTTGAATGTGAGGAAATACAGGCTCGGTCTTGCATAGTTGATGCAGGGGATCAACGAAGTGATGGTCTGTGCAGCTGCGTGAAGAGTTTCAAAAGCGCTTACACATGTGAGGCCGCTAAGGATTATTCGTTCCGTCGATTCTGACAAGGCCACATTCACACAGTGGCATAAATTTATTCCGTCCTTTGTTAAAGCGGTATTTTATGTGCTCGGTGTTTCTCTAGGTGTGAGGATACAGCAGGGGACAAAACAGGTAAAAATCTTTGCCCTCGTGGTGTTTATGCTCCACCCTGCAATGACCTGTCTCAATTCAAGACGTCTGCTTTTAAAAAAAGCCTCATTTTGGGGATTGGAACCCAGAGTTTTCATCCACCAACTCTGAAGAAACCAAGCTCCCCTGCTATTAAGTAACTGACTCGGTTTCCTTGCCAGTGGTGTCAGATGCGTCACGCCTGTTTTATAGGGTCGTCACGAGGGTAGAAGGAGGTGACGTATGACAAGGAGTCCACACGGACTGGCCGTGGGCTGGTGGGTCCCCGATGCCTGAGCTGGGGGCACGGGGAGCCTGGGGCAGAAGGCAAGTTGATTTGCTCCATGCCGAGCTTCCTGGCACCACCGTTGAGAACGTGGAAACCGGGGTTCTTTCTCCCCTGCCCCAGCACACGCAGAAAGGACTCTAGGGAATCCATCATCCCCTCCCACCTGCGCACCCCTCTTACCTTCCATGGTGTCCCCACCTCCCGGGGCAGCCCCACAGCTCCCAGCGGGGGAGGTGCCGGGATCCACACCTCCTTGGCTGTCCGCCCACCTGTCTGCTCTACCTGGCCTTGGACCGCGCATGTGTCTAAGAATAGAATCATGGCGGTCGAAAACAAGAACCACCACCAAAAAACCCAGTTAGCATTCTCTGACTCTTCACTCTTAATGTTGACCCATGTTAGGATATTGAATTTTCTCCCTTGGGCTGGCTACTTTTGGAGTTTTCTGCAAAATGTTACGAGTGAATATGCTGCTTTTCTTTGAGAAAACCGTGTTACTGGACGAACAGTGCAATGACCCCCAAGCTCCTCTTGTGACCAAATGCCCCAGACCTCCCCCCCCCCCCCCCAAACTTCAAAGGCTATTTCTTCACTGATTCTTCCCTGTTCTTCGCCCCACCCCTCAGGCGCTGGCCCCGCCCCCAGCTCCATCCCCACGGCCGCGCCCACATCCACACCCACCCCGAACCGCAGGAGACCCCAGCTGACTCCGTCTCCCTGTCCTCTCACCTCCTCCCGCAGGTTACGGGCACGCTGCTCCGGGCACGGACGCGGGCAAGGCCTTCTGCATGTTCTACGCGGTGCTGGGCATCCCGCTGACGCTGGTCATGTTCCAGAGCCTGGGCGAGCGGATGAACACGTTCGTGCGCTACCTGCTGAAGCGCATCAAGAGGTGCTGTGGCATGCGCAACACGGAGGTGTCCATGGAGAACATGGTGACCGTGGGCTTCTTCTCCTGCATGGGGACGCTGTGCATCGGGGCGGCCGCCTTCTCCCAGTGCGAGGAGTGGAGCTTCTTCCACGCCTACTACTACTGCTTCATCACGTTGACTACCATTGGCTTTGGGGACTACGTGGCCCTGCAGACCAAGGGCGCCCTGCAGAGGAAGCCGCTCTACGTGGCCTTTAGCTTTATGTATATCCTGGTGGGGCTGACGGTCATAGGGGCCTTCCTCAACCTGGTGGTCCTCAGGTTCCTGACCATGAACAGCGAGGACGAGCGGCGGGACGCCGAGGAGCGGGCGTCCCTCGCCGGCAACCGCAACAGCATGGCCATCCACATCCCCGAGGAGGCGCGGCAGGGCCGGCCCCGGTACAAGGCGGACGCGGCGGACCTACAGTCCGTGTGCTCCTGCACCTGCTACCGCCCGCAGGAATACGGTGGCCGCTCGGCGGCGCAGCAGAACTCCTTCAGCACCAAGCTCGCCCCCCAGTACTTCCACCCCATCTCTTACAAGATCGAGGAGATCTCACCAAGCACATTAAAAAACAGCCTCTTCCCGTCCCCTATTAGCTCCGTTTCTCCCGGGTTACACAGCTTTACTGACAACCACAGGCTGATGAGACGGCGGAAGTCCATCTAGGGTCTGGGGAGGGAAACACAAACAAGTCATTTGTCATAGCTGACGTTAAGTCTCATTGGCCCACCTTGTCTTATTTATTGATTATGGTTATATCCTTTATTGTTATGATTATTGTCATCATTTTTTCTTTCTCTCCTTCCCTCTTTCTTGGTTTCATTTCTTCCCCACCTTCCCAGCGAGACAGAGCAGGCCAAAGGGAAAAAAGGAAAGGCCCGTCTTCCTGTGAAACTCGCATCTGAGCATGAAGCATGGATTTCTTCCTTCTTCCCAGCAAAGTATGCCTTACATTTCTCCCCAGCCCGCCCCACCTCTGGGGTGGCTTTCCCAGGACAGGTGTGAGACCCAGACAAGGAGACAGAGCCCAGAGGATACCTGACCCAAAGTTGCACACGCGGCTGAGAGCCTCGAGTGCCCACCCACAGTGGTGTCTCTGACCCAACTCCTTTCTCTTTTCCTCCCCAAGCAGTGGGTGGCCGAATGTGTGTGGTCTGAGTGTGTGTGAATGAGTGCACACACCAGTGTGCTTCTGATGTGACAGAATGGAAAGTATCAGGTATTCATCCTTCTTCTCCGTCACACAATTTTGTTAATAGCCTGCTTTCGGCCGCTTCCAAACAAAACGGGAAAACAAACAAAACCCACGAGGTTTCTGATTTATCATCTTGCCAAATCATGCATGTTCCACAAGCAGTCTTTATCCCAGATACGTCATGACCACATTTTTAAAACGCTAGATTCTAAATTATATTAACTTCTTTTTAGGGGGTGGGTGGGCAAGCCGACACGGATCATTTTAGCTTGCCAGTTCAAAAATTTTTTAAACAAGCATGCACTTTGTTAAACTGGTATGCGTTATCAACACAAGAAAACAAAACTAGCAATGGAATAATCAAAAGCCAATAATATTAATTTATCAGAGACATTTTTAATTTCACCACCTCTAGTTCCAACGATTTTCCGTGTAACTGGACGTGTTGGGGAAACTGGAAAACTGTTGCAACCACAGAGTATCTTATTCTCTCTTATTTGTGTGATGATGATGACTTGTGTAGCATCTACCTACATGAGTAAGAACTACAGTTCGGGATGCTTGGGTGAGAATGGGTATTGGTAAGTGGACGTGGTTTCTTTTCCTAATGAAAAACGACAGGGCATTCCTCATTTTAAAGAATATATATAATGTATTTTAAGAAAGATTGTCTCTAACTGCATTTGATTTGTAAATAAGGGAATGTTGATGTTGGTCTCAGGAAGAGTTTGGAGGCAAGGAGCTGCGTCTTGGCCTGCTGGGAACTTGTCAGTCTCGGGGTGATTTTTTTCCTGAATAGTGGAGAAATTCCTCCCCACTCTCAATAGGGGATGACCCCAAAGGGAAGGCCTGCTAACATCCTTGGGGGGCGGGGCTATAGAACATAGCACATTGGAGGCCCTTTCCAAGACAGGAATAAAGCAAAGTCTCACCTGCAGATTCACGGGGGGACCTTCATTTCCCTCATCACTGTCTCGGCCATTTCTAAAAATCAGCCATCCTCACTTCCCTTTTTCAAATTCTTCCAGCTCTTGGACAGCAATGGGCTTTGGCTGGGCTGCCCAGGCGCGGATAATCTTTGATCTATAAAAGAGAGAGAGGCACTGAGAGGGTGAGTGATTTGCTCAACGTCAGAGAGCTGGTCTTTGCTAGAACTGAGACATTAGTCTCGGTCCGGACCCCAAAAGGGTCCAAGGAGCTGTGACCCCACCACACTATGGCACCCTCATTCAGCCCTCAGATGAGGGAACTTGCATCTTTCTCCACAGCTAAGTGTACCAGGCTTTTAGAGTCAGTTAGAGGTACACGGGTTCAACCCTTCACTCAGAACTGTTCCCCTCACCATGTACAGTGGTCATAAAGTGACCTACTTCTGCTTGAATGCTTCCAGTGACAGGGAGCTCCTCCCTTCGCAGGGAAGTTTAGAAAACATCCCATAATCTCTCTTCCCACAGAGCTGACTCTTCTTTGTAGGATTAAGGATGGTAAGATGAAGTCTTTCCTGTTTGCAGGATGACCACCAACTTAAGTGTCTGAAGCAACTTGGAATTTCTCTTGGTTCCATATCCTAGCCCCCCCCCAACCCCCTGCCCTTTGCTACCAGCTCAGCCCCTGAAGGACACGTACCGAGTCTTCTGTTCCAAAGGTAAACATCCTTGTTTATGCTCAGAGCGTTCGGGGGTGGAGGGGAACCTCGGTTTACTCCCCTTGTGATGTCCTTCTTTTTCTCAGATGCTCGAGCTCTTCCCTACCATGCTGTCTGGCCAAGGAGTCCTCTAGGTGCCTCCAGTGAGGTGCTCTGATGGGGGCACTGAGCCAGGAGTTCTCCAGGGTTCTCGTCTCTTGATAAAGCAGGCCTGGGGCATCTCCAGCTAGAGCTTGGCCCACCCCATCAGCATTGGAATCCTCAAAAGCCAGGGGGAAGCTTAGTCTGAGTCACCTTGCTGAGGTCCCTCATCTTCAGGAAAGGAAATCGAGGTCCAGAAAGGCTGGACATGACTCTGAGGCCCCACAGCCAGAACTTAGGTCTTCCCACTTGTTTATCCTGCTGCTTTGTCACTGCTGTCACACCCTCCAAACAGTCCTCGTTGCTGGACTTCTCAGCATCTCGGACCCAGGTCTCTCTTCCCCCTTCACAGCTGATGATTTCTTTCTTTCAGCCCAGGTTTCCCACACCTTTCTTCCAGTTGACCATACCCACTCAGGGAGGGGGAAGAAATCTCACCAGGTTGTTTGAATTTGGGCCCCAACTTACGTTAGAATGAGCTGAAGAAGAGCCACGTTCCACCAGCATCACAGGAGGTTGGCCTGCCACGTGGTCCCTGGTGGGGGTCTAGAAATCAACATGCCACATAGATACTCAAAGAGATTTTGGACTCTCACTTGAATGCTTTCCAACTAGGAGATCTCAACCCATCCCCTCCATCAAAGACAAAAGGAAGGTAGGCAGTGGTACCGGTTAGTCCAGCAGCTCTGAGTGCCATGCTTTCTAGAGACCATCCCATTTTGATCTTTATGACATCCATCCTCGGTGGAAGGTGCTGTCATGCCATTGGTCTACTAGATTCTTTACATAGGAGTGAACCAACCCGTTTGGCTTTTGAGATACCCAGTTAGCCCCAGAGCTGGGATCGGAGCACTTCTTTCCATCCACACCACTCTGTCCTGAAACTCGGGCAGCAGCCTCTTAAACACAGCAGGCTGCCTGGTGCTCTAAATTTAAATACTCTCTCTGAAGCATCTGTTGTGCTCCACTGTGCATCACCAATTGGGAGGAGGGTACCTGCACTTTGGAATGATCACAGCAGATCACTTGCAGCCCAGGAATCCCCACTGGGTCCCTCATCCTTCCAGCAGAGGAAGCAGATGGACGCAGACCGCCGCCCAGGAGGCCTGGCTGTGCAGGTGCTCGTCAAAACCCATCTGTAGGAAAGGGTGAGTTGACTGGTTAATCTCGGTGCACCGTCGTTTGGTCTCTGCACACGGGGCCTCGGCTGGGAGAATATCTGGATGGTGACTTGGAAACCTGCAGATAAGCCCAGGCAGGTCATTTTTCTTTGCCTCCAGATCTGAAAGCCTTGATTCCTAGTGATTCCTGGTCACTAGCGGTTTGAAGCTGGAGGGAAGAATGGTTTGGAGGCATTCGTTGTGCACACTGAGTTTGGAGGGGAAGGTGAGAGAGGTAAAAATGATTAAAGAAGGAAAACCACCCATCGCTGAGGTTTTCGGCCCTATTTCTTTAGGTAAACTTCTTCTTAAATAATAGGCCCTAATTAGGGTACCCGTTAAGGGCATCCACAGAGGCGTGGGGTCTGAGGCCTGTGCCGGACTATGTCCGTTTTCTTGGTGGGACGGGCGGCGTCATCTGTCCAACACTCCGATGAATTGTATCTTCACCCTGAAAGGGGTGGGATGTGGGGTCTGTCACATGCAGGCCTGCTGCCTGGGAGTGGCTGACGTGTGTTTCTTACAGAGTCATGGTTTGTGTGGGAGCCCGGAAGGATCCCGGCAAGGAAAGTTTGGCAGGACGGGGACCCGGTTCTCACCTCCAGCTTCACTGGGCTCCCCTGTAGCTTCCTCATCCACACAATGGGCCAATGTGGGCTGAATTTGTGAGCATGTAGCACAAAGTCAACTTGACCGATGGAGACATCTGGCCTGATGTTCTGGCCACTGGGCACACTTGAGGGTTGAGCCGCAACATTGAAAACCCAAAATCATTTCGCTTGGCAGCATCCTGGGAGCTGGGAAGATGGCGAGTGAGTAGGCAGAGGCGTCAAGAAGGGTGGTCATCGTGCAAACCAAGGCCCCGTGCGTGCTGGGTTCCCCAAGGCCCTGGGCATACATCCATTTTATGTGGTTATTTCTTGAGCACACCTTAGTAGAGGTTGCTGTTTTGTGGGGAGCGGGGAGGGAAACCTATTGCCATGATTCCTCCCTATCGCCCCAACTTTCTGTTGTGAAAATTCCAGATTTACAGAAAACTTCCATATCCCTTTCACCCAGACTCACCAGCCTTCAGAACTTTGCCACGTTTGCTTAAACCACCCCCCCCCCATTCATACCCAGGGGCATTTGGAGAATGAAGTGACGTCTGCAACTTTTAGGTGGTTTGGCCGAAGGGAAAAATTGTTTCTCTCCCGGGAACAAAAGCCTTCTCTTTGGTAACAATGCTGTTATCACCCTTAAGTTTAGCAGTCATACAATGATATTGTCTGAGACGCAACCCATATTCACATTTCTCACGTCCCAAAAATGTCCTCCAGGGCCTTTTTGTGAATCTGAGAGACAATCCAAGATTGCATCCCACATTGCTTGTCTGCTCACCCCAGACTCCCCCAGTCTAGGATGTTTTCTCCGTTTTTGTTTGTCGTGACGTTGCCACTTTGTTGTCTGAGCCAGTTCTGTTGTGGGCGGGCCCACGACCTGCCTGTTTCCTCAGGTTAAGGAATTAAAGGTGATGTTGTTACGATTAATGCGTTTGAGAAATCTGACTCTCTGGAGACCTCTGTGAGAACCTCTCTCGTCCTAGATAAATAAGGCATATTAAGTGCTGTTCTCCTTTGCTGGAGACACGAACTGAAGCTGTAGGAAAGGCGTCCAGGAGCCCCTGGATGCTGGGTCTCGTCACCACAGCCGAGCAAGGCTCTGCTGTTTCTAACTTCTCACGTGGATCTCTCTTCTCTGCTGAGAGTCAGCAATCTTTCCCCTAAACACCTGTGGGGATGACGCAGCCATAAATAGACATAAAGCACCAAGACATTCTTTCATGGGTTGTGAAGGGTAGCAAGTGTAGCCCAGTAGAGTAGTTGGAAGGATGCCCATAGGCCAGTGGGGTACTCGGCACCCAGTTGCTTCTCATCTCTGTTTGAGATGTGTGTTTGCACTGGCAAGTTCTATAGCATGGCCTTCTCAGTTCTGGTAACACAGAGCAACCCACTGGCTGAGGCACGGTCCCTTTAATTTTGATCAAGAAAATATGTCCATACAGATTCCCGCCTCTGAGCCTTTGCCCATTCTGTTCCCGCTACCTGGAAGGTATCCCTGCTGCTCTCCAGCACGGAGGTGGAGATGGGAGCATACTTTAAAAGCTCCTCCTGACTATTTGTTCCATGAGGGACTCAATGATGTCCTCCTCTGGGGTCCCCAGTCCTTCTTTCTATCATGGACAAATACACCGGGAAGCAAACCTCCAGTGACCCGGCCATAGGAGCTATACGTTCCGGGCAGCGCCCACAGCAGGGCATAAAGACAATCAGACTTCCAGCATCTTGCCTAGATGGCCACTCGTCACTGTCGTCAAGGCACATCTTAACGTCACTGCCAGACTTTGTTCCATCCCTGGAAACCGATGCACATCCACGGGATGAAAACCATCACCCCACCGTTGGCGATTCAGAGGCAGTTGCCTGGCAGAGTTGGGTGGGCCACGTGCAATAGGGCCACAAGCTGTCCACAGCTGGGCATTTCCCATAGAGCAGGAGATCGGTACATCTTCAGATGCCAGCGGCACGCTTGTGACATTTTGCCCTGGAGTGAGTGAGCCCTTGATGCGAGTGTCAACAGGAACCAGGGCAGCACCGTTTTCTCAGGGGAGTACTTCCGGTAGAGGCTGAGTGGGGTGGGGCACACACGGCGAGGGACAGGATCCCCGGCCTCGGCTCTGCACCTGCCCAGCGCTCGCTCTGGGGCCCTGAGACAGGACAGGGCAGGCTCTTCTTTCTCTGCAGAGCAGCGTGAGGGAATAAAGCTGCATGCACACCTGGGACCGGCTTCTGCCGTTCACAGGCAGGTGGTGGTTTTGCCTCTCTGAGCCTCTGTGTTCCAGCCTTTAAAGTTGGAGATTTCAGATAAACCCCACTGCACAGGGTGCCTACAAGAACAGCATGTGGCAACATCGGGCGCCTGTTCTGAGCAGAGTGCCGAGCTAGAGTTCTTAACACCGCTTGCATTTCTCCTAAAGGCCGGTCCAAGGCTCCTGCAAGCTTACTCCCGGGCACTTGACTAAGTCCAGCTATGGAAAGAGGTGATCAGTCTGGTGGAGGAACGCAGGCAGGGCTTCAGGGAGGAATTGGCTTTTGGTAATCTTTGAGGAGAGGCTTGAAGGAGCAAGTGGGCACTGTTGCATGGGCAGAGGCCCAGGCGTGGGAAGGGGCAGGGAGCAGCGATTTCACCCAGTGCTCCGTGGCTTCCCTAACACAGAGCCACACCTGAAAGATGAGTCAGTGAGCTGTCAAGGCCCTTCACAAGCTGGTCACACCTTAAGTCATCCAGGCTACTCTCCTGCTCAAGAACCTTCCATGGCTCCCCAGTGCCCACACATTTTATTTCAAGGTCCTTCGCTCTAACACCCAGAGCCTGAGCCTTGGGCTCTGATGGAGGAGCTATCCATCCTGATATCCCTACTGGGTTCTCCTCTGATTACAAAAGTCTGAAACTAGATCCCGGAGTCTCATCCAATTTGAATCCTGTGGCGTCCTATTCTTCAGGTGGAGGTTTTCTTCCTTCTTCTGGACGTTAGGTCTAATTTGCATATGGGAATATTTCTGGATAAGATCCACTTGGTCTTTCATTTAAGCATCCTGGGGGCTTGTTCTGGTGCAGACTTCCAACAGCTTGAGCAAAGATTAGCATGAAACCACTAAAAGGAAAATGTATAATTCTTGGGCTTCCTTGGCGTGAAGAATTCGCTGTTTCCCGAGACTCTGGGAGCAACAGATTTTGTGACTGCCTGTGACCAGGAATCAGGGATGGAGAGAGGAGAAGAGGACGCACTTGAGGGCAAGGTAACTTTTTACTTGGAGAGTTTTTATTCTCCACATCATCCCATCACTCTCGGATCCTAACTTCAGCCTCTTGGAGGCTCCAGTCGAGTTGCCTGGGGACCCCTACCATCCAGAGAGCAGCTCTTGATCTTGAAGGGGGAGGTCTTGTGAAGTTTAGCTATAAGCCTCGACCACTACAAACATAAAACCTCAGCTTTGCCCCTTCCAGCTCCTGAGCACTGGGGGGTGGAGGCCTCAGGGCCTTCGTAAGCACCCACCCGGGCAACAGCTTTCTTTCCTTCCTCTTTGTAATCAGGCCAAGTGGCCTTGGGCAAGTCACTTCCTCTCCGACAAAGGATGGAATGGCCAGGGGAGAGGCAGATGCTGGTGAAGATGACAGGAGGTCAGTGTCATTATGTTCCATGCTCTTGGTTGACATTTCTTTGCGGGGGGGGGGGTGCTTTGGAGGCAGGATGGCCAAGTCCTCCCAAGCATAGGGTTCCTGAGCGGGGCCAGCTCCTTCCCCCTGGGGAACGTCACATTTTCCAGGTAGAGTTGTTCTATAACCCTCCTCGCACCAAAGAATCATGTCTTTACCCAGCTCCTCTGACCCTTCTGTTGACGGGTTCTCCTTTGTGGCCCTGCTCAGTCCCACGTGGACCAAATGCTTGGCGATGGGGGGGGTGGGGCGGGCATTGCCCAGTGAACCAAAGTCCCCCCTTTGCCTGACAAACCTTGGGGAAGTCCTACCTTTCCTTAACCTGAGAGATCAAAGCAGCTACTGATGTGAGCTGCAACAGTGGCTCTGCAGGGCCCCCTCTGAGCAGTACTCCCTGCTGATTGATTCACTTATCCAGCGATTATTTATAGAGCTTTTGGGCATCTGCCATCAGCCTCAGTGAGAGGCCATTGTGGTGAACTGGACGGTCAAGTTCTGTGGCCTCATAAGGCTAAAATTCCACTGGATCACATGCTCCCAAGATGCACAAGTTCTAGAAACAGAGTCAGATGAGCACTTCTTGGAATCAGAACCTGGCTCAGCTATTGCTGCACTTTCTTGAGCTGAATTTTAGAAGTTGGGTAGAAAAATAAAAATCGAATGAAAGGCAAAACACGATTAGTGGGAATCCAGTGAAGCAGAACCCACAATTAACCAGATTTCTCTATAATTTGATGGCTCCTCAGAGAAGAACATGGTCCTGAAAAAGGCTAATTACATATTTGTTTATTCAGCCCACAAATAGCATTTTGACAGCCGTCTGGGGCTGGAAGGGACCTCCAGAGGCCTCCTCAGTCCACCCTGTGCTTTATCAGAAATCTCCACGGAACAGAAAATGCATTGGATTAGGTGATGCTGTTGGCCTTACTGAGTGAAATTTAAATAGGAAAACAGACTAACCCCACCTGGAAGGTCTGAGGCTCTCTCGCTTGTCCATAATGTTGATCAGAAGGCTTGTAATTAAACAAACAGAGGAGACACAGGAAAGATGTCAAAGAGGATGAGATTTTAAGTCACTGAACCGCTTAACAAGAAGGAAGAATTTCTAGTCTATTCCCAGCAGGCCAAGAAATTGCTGATACTCCCTCTACCATGTACACTTTTTAACTTAGCCAACCGTGTATCCTTGTACCTCAAACATTAAACATTTAAAAAGTGTCATTTGTGACCCTAGGCATAGAAGAAGTTAAGCTTGAATTAGGTGCAAACTCACACCCGTTAAAATGATTGGCCTATATGCACAGGGAGTTCATTCTGGGAGTTGGGGGCACAAAGGTGTGATACTCACTTATTCATCTGGGGCGCGCGCGTGTATGCACTGACCGGGTATCTTTGGGTCTCTGGAGTTTTTTCTTTCTTCTTGGCATCGCTGGACGTTTTCATGACTGCATGCTAAAAGGACCTGGGTTTGTTCTGATGGCGATGCTGCTGCTGGAAGGCCTCCAGAACATTCCCGAGGAGTGATGGAGATCAGGAAGTTTCTAGCAGAAGCTGGGTCAGCCTGGCCACAGGCCAGGAGGATGGAACGGTTTGTCCCGAACCCCTAGCAGGGCTCTCCCTTCCCACGTTGGTGGGCGTTTGGGATTGGATGGCAGGCCCAACTGTGGTCAAGGCATCAGACCTTGGGTGGGAAGCCGCACCAGTGATCCCAACTGGACCACAGTGAACCAGTTTCAAAGAAGCCTACTGTTCCTGTTCGTTTTCCTTTTGTTTATCTTCTCTGGCCTTCTCCACCCGTGGAGAGGGCGCCTTCACAAATGGCCTTAGAATGCCGTTCTGAAGTTTAACAGAATGAGACAACCATCAAATGAATATCAGAGGTATTTACTATCGCAGCTTATCTGAAAAATGAAAAACAAAAACAAAACAAAACTGTATCACCAATGTTTACAAGTCCAAGTAGACATCCAGCCCATGTAAAATATGTAATTTATGCAAGGGATTGCATCTTTCTTTTGTAACGAATGCACTAAGCAACCCTGTATATATTTTACAATGTCTTTACAGAAAAAAGAAAATCATTTACTGTAGTGTTGTAAAATAATGCACTTTTCTAATTTTTTCATTAAAATCTCTATGGCACGTTTGCAAATGTGTTTTGGTCTTCCTTCACTAAGAAAAAGGGGAATTAAGAGGTGTTTTTGTCCAGGCTCTCCCGCCTTAAGCCACATTCGGAAAACTTTCTCAAGCAAGGTGGACAGAGTCAGAATTGTCATTGGTCTTCCTCACTGCAGGCAGGCCCGCTAAGAAGCCTTGCCCCTAAAAACCTCAGCAAGGACTTCAGATCAACCGAGACCCCCCGATTGGCCAATTTTTGTTTTTCTGGCTGAGGAATTTGAGTTCAAAACATGAGACAACCCCTTTTGCCCTTTTCTACCTGTCTCTGCGTGTGTGTGGAAAAAGCAGAAACAGGCAGATAAAAGATGCTCTGTCATCTCTGCGTCACACGTAAACTCTGCTTCCGGCAACCCACAGTAGCTGCTCAAAGGTTAGGGGCTTCTGACCTCACTCATGTTCCAGAGGCCTGGGCATCACGGAACTCTGGGGGTGCCAGTGTCGGAGCTTCCTGAAGGGGTGGTATTCTCCGATTTTGCCCGCATCTAGAAGGCTCCTGAAAACACAGATTGCCAGCCCCATCCTCACTGTGGGTCCAGGGCGGGGCCACGACTGTGCGTTTCTAACAAGGCCTCAGGGGTCCTGATGCTGCTGGGGTTGGGACCACACCTTGAGGACCGTGGTCTTCTCTGTGCTGTCCCAACTCTGAGGTTAAGGGGAGATTCTGGACCAAAGCGCATCATGGCCACAGGTGGAGCCCCACGGAAGCCAGGCTCCTCTCTACCGGTCCTGTCGTAAGTGCGCTCATTCATGGGGTACCTGCTGCCTGCTCTGCTCTGCTCCCCCAGAACAGAGGCTCATACGGGGAAGAGGCCTGACCCTGGGAAGAATCTTGACTCTCAATGATCAACATCACATCACCAGTTTGTTCCTCGATAGGACACCTTGTTTCAGGAGTCGGGTCTTCTAAGCCAGGGGTTAGACAACTTTGACAATAAAGAGCCAGACGGTACCTATTTTAGACTTAATGCCATACCCCAACTCTGCTGCTGTAGCAGGAAGGCAGCCAGAGATAATACGGAAATGAACAGGCGCAGCTGTGTCCAATACACCTGTATTTGTGGAGACTGAAATTTGAATTTCACAGCAATTTCATGGGTCACAAAATATTCTTCGTCTTCGGTATCCACCCCCTGCACCGTTTAATAATGTAAAACTCATTCTTAGCTGGTGGGCCACGCAGAGACCGGGGGCCGGGTGTGGCCTGGGCGCCGCAGTTTGCAGACCCCTGTCCTAAGCTCTTCTCCAGATACGGACTCGTTTCATCTTCCCACGACCTCCGAGCTTGGTACCGTTTTCATCACTCAGTGTTCTCATCTGAGCCGGGGTTTCTCACAATAGCAGCAAGGGCTAAAACTCAGCTCACGGGTCCGAGGGGGCTTTATTTTGTCCATCCTCCGTGGACGTCCACCTTTGGGAGGGTTCAGAGAGGTCATCAGCCCGGCCAGCCCAGGCCAGCCGCCCCTGACGGTGGTTCCCCTCCTCGCTCCGTACCACCCCAGCCCCACCTGAACATCACGCATCAGCGAAGACACTGCTGGAACCCAGCACGTACGGTTAAGGGCCAGATGCAGCATCCCGCCCCGCCCCCAGGTGAGGTCAGGGAGCCCAGGCCATTGTCCCTGGCACTGTCGCCCCACAGAGAGCCTCTTTAGGCTGGGTCTCCTCGTCCTGCCTCTGGGAGGTTCCCAAGAAGATCACAGGCAGCATCTGGAAGAGGATTTACAATCTGTGTTGACATTTTAGAGACGAAGGTCTCGCTCTGATCCATGAGTCTCAGTGTGCGGCGACAGACCTCCATCTGGTGTCAGCCGGCCAGGCTGCTGAGAGCACGGGAGGTCTCGGACGGGACAACAGTCGGGTGTGGATTCTTCCTGCTCTCCCTCCTCCCTCCTTCTCCCCTTCCCTCTCTCCCTCTTCCCGCCCCCTCTCCCCTTCCTCCCTTTCTTCCCCACCTCCTGCCCTTCCATCCAGCAACCCTTCATTAAAAATCTCCGGTCTGTACATCCACCTGCCTGTGACACGTGTTCACTTGGGTTTCCAACGGGCATCTCCAACTTCGCGGGTCCAACGTGAACTCCTGATCACCTCCCTCCCCCCCACCTCCCCAGACCCCTGCTTCTCTTGAAGGGCTTCTCATCTCAGTAAGTCAGTGCCGTCCTTCTAGCTGGTCAGGCCAAAGAACTCTGGAATTATCCTTGACTTCTCTTTTCCACCCCAAATCCGAGCCCTCAGAAAGTCCCATTGGTTCTACCTTCAACATTTATCCGGAATCTGACTCCTTTTCACCTCCACCAACCCGCCCTGGGTCCACAGTACCAGGTCTCGCCTGCATTATTGCGTCAGCCCTCCCCCCCCCCCCCCACCTCCCCTCCCCCTTTCCTCCCATCTGCTTTCAACACAGAAGCCAATGCATGCTTTTGCATTTTAAACTCAGGGTTAGTGAGGCATAACTCACATACAAAACAAGTCACCCTTTCTGGCTGTAGAGTTCTCTGAATCCTGACAACACACAGGGACTTAAAACAATCCTACTAGAGTGTAAATAAGGTCAGGTCACTTTCCCTGCTCCACCCTCCCTGTTCCCATCCACCCCAGCTGACAAGGCCCTCCCAGAGCTGCTCCCCTGACCCCCTTGCAGCCCTGCTGGCCTCCTGGCTGTGCCTGGGCACCACTGCCCAGCGTGCTCTTCATGCTGTGGCCTGTCGCCCCCAATCAGGACTCACAGGCCTCTTTGTCACTTTGGTTTCAGCTGCACTGGAGTATATCTGCACTTCCCCCTGGGGTCCTCTTCACGGACCCCCCAAAGTGAATGTTGTGTATACCTGTGCTCAGTGCCAGGCCTTCACAGACATACCCAACAAACTTGGTGAAAATCTAACCACGTGATACAGTAACAGAGCCCATAGTTTACAGTAGGGTTCACTGTTGGTGTTGCACATTCTGTGGGTTCCGGCAAACGTGTAATGACATGTGTCCACCATTAGAGTGTCATACAGAGCAGTTTCACTGCCCTAAAAAATCCTCTGTGCTCTGCCTAGTCATCTGCTGAGTCCTCCTCACGTAATAACGCATAGCTTCTCCCAAAACACATTCCATGAAATGCTTGTACCCAGCCCCACCTGCCAACACAGGTTATGTGCGTTGCCGTATCCCGTGTCCCCATCCTGGAGATCGACAAGCTACCACACCGCAGCACCTCACAGCGTTTGCTGTATGAAGAAACCCAGAGCTCTGATGGCCCAGCGACGCCCGAGCATGATGGGTAAAGGGGTCCTCGCTCCCCAGCACACCTGTTTACAACAGTCAGAACCCCACCCCACATGCACTGGTGCACCCGTTCTTCCCGCTTCCCATGCTCCTGGTCCCCTGGGTGGGTGGAATCATGAGACTAGTTCTGGCCAATGAATCCTGAGTGAAGTGACATTGGTCCCTTCTTGGATAGAGCATCAATTGTCGACGTGAGACCCTCCAGAACGTCATGCTGACAGTCAGGTTTCAAGATAGAGGCTGCTGAGTCCAGGTCCTAAAGTGAAGAGGTGGGGCATAGAGTCCCCAGCTGGCCCACAGCGGACACAGAAAGTGAGGGGGAAAAAAATACCTTTAAACCGCTATGATGCTGGGGTTCGGACTATCCACAGCCTATATCCTGACGGAGCTGCACCCCTTGGGACACTGGTTTCTCAGGCCTGTGGTGCCCGGCACATGTTTGGTTCATAACGAAACCGAGTCTCCCAAAACCAAGTTCTTCTGCCGAGTTTATGGTTGACCGTTGAAACCGTACAATCTGCCATGTCCCTGTCCTTGGACATAAAAGTCTTTTGCTTTAGTCTCTCAGGGCTCCCCTGAGTCTCAAAGGCTGGCTCAAGAGTTAATGATTAGAAATGTGAAGATGTAGAAACCAAGAATAGCTGTTGGGCCGGGAAACTGGTAACAATTTAGACTATAAATACGTCACGCAGCAGAGTGGCCAAACTCCCAGTTCTCTGAAAGATATAGATAAAGGCCTGACACACATTCCTAAGTTGTTTTTTATAGAAACCAGACCCCCACCAGATGACAACTGCTGACCACAAGCACATAGACCCCAGACCATTGAAACCAGAGATCTGATGATACTTGGAACTTCACCTTGATGCCAGCCAACCTGAGAATTGTGCACGAGCTGATCATGAACCCTGCAGCCCCTCCCTCACATTGCCTTAAAAACCCCCTTCCCTGAAAGCCATCAGGGAGTTGAGCACGAGCTGTGCCTTCTCCTTGCTTGGCACCCTGCAATAAATGCTGCAACTTCCTTCACCACAACCCAGTGTCAGTAGATTGACTTTACTGCCTGCAGGCAAGTGGACCCAAGTTTGGCTCGGTAACAGTCAAGAATATCTATGAGTTAACGATCAGCCCACAGCATCTTCCTGGAGACAGCTGCATGCACTGAAATCAATTCCACGTCAGGGTCTTACTTATCTGAGTTAAGCGTAAGCCGCTCCAATCTCAGTCCCATTTTTGAGACTTCAAAAGAATCTTTGTCATGTCCAGCTGTCACGTCCAACTGTCTTAGCAGCTCTGATCAACTCAGCCTCAGGCAGACCAAGAACTGCATTGAAAACCAAAACCAAAACCCAAACAGCTGAGGATGCAGGGCTCTCTCACCCGGCCCACCTGCAGGGCTGGGCACAGTGGCAGGGAGGGTGGGAGCTCTGGGGTCAGCCTCCCAGCTCAGTACCCACAGTCTTAGGTAGCAATGCTTAGGTAGCTTACTATACCACAGGTTTCCTGTGTGTAAAACAGGGCTCTTTTGAGGAATTATGATTATTAACATCACCCCGAGTCAAGGTACCTACTGAGATAATATATTCAATGCTCATAATAAAAGCTAGCTGTGTGCCAGCACTGCTCCGAGACCCTGCTTTCGTGGTTATTGTTTTTGGTTCGGCTGTATGCATTCCACACACATTCCCTTTGACT